CCACTGCTCAATAGTTTGAAGTCGTTTCTTGAGGTGTTTCCAACAATCCTATCTTCCTGTAAATCTTACTCTCAACATCAGGTAGCTAAGCCAAAGCTGTTGCCACAGGTTGTATTATGATTGTATAAATTGAAACAGATGCTTATAGAACAAAACAGAATAGAGGCACTTAGGGCTACTTTCTTCCTATTTCCAACTTAATGTCATAGGCCTATAATCAGTCAGAGTTGCAAGGGACCTGGCACAGATGGTCTCATCTGACTCCCACTTCATTCCTCCTTCCATCCATCCATGCAGGGCAGTGTGGTGATCTCTAGCTCCTTCCATATCTTGGGTATCAATCCCCCTAATTAGACACTGTTTTTCTTCTTCTGAGCAAGCAGACAAGCAATAAGCAACTTTCCTGTCTTAAGGACACGCCTACCAAGGAAACTAAAAGACAAAATCATCATAATGATTTATCATCAAGTCTCACAGTTGGGGGGGACCCCTGTGGGAGTCTATCAAGCCCAGCCTGTAGTTGCCTGGCCTCTATTTGCAGACCTCCTGCCATAAAGAATTTACCACATGCTGAGGCAGCTCATGCACCTTTTACACAGATCTAAGTATTAGGAAGTTTGTCCTTATGTTAACTTGAAACTTGCTTCCCAATAACTTCCAAACCCAGTTTCTTCACTAAAAGCATTAAGAAGCTGGGTTAGCCAAAGGAGATGCGTGGAGAGCACGGAGAGGTGAGAGGACAGACCTCTGCAAGACTGCCACCAGGCAGAGCGTGGGGCTGGGTGGGCCGGTGAGTGGTGTCACTATCAGAAGAGAGGAAGACCCAAGTAGCCATTCTGCCTGAACCCAGGTGGATGGGAGGGGCTGCTTAGAACCCGCAGGCACAGAGAGCTTGGACTGTGGGTAGAAGCAGGAAGATACTCAGGAGAAGAAGCTAACTTCTTTTAGGGCTTGGCTGAGATGGCCCTGCTTGAGTGAGGCTGGACTCTGTCATAGCTTTGCATTACCCACTTGTATGGTTTGTACTTTGATTAAGCCCTATACCAAGAGTTGCTTTGCATGCCCTCGAGATAGTGACTCTTCCTCGGGTCAGTTCTCTCAGAATGTCAAAGTTGGAAGGGACCTCAGGGCCACCTAGTCTGACCCACAGCTGAACAAAGTCTCCCAAGTGATCCAGCCTTTGCTTAATGACCTCCAGGGATGGGGAACTCACTACTTCTGGAGATGACCCATTCCCACCTTTTTATAACTCTTAATTATTGGGCAAATTTTCCTTCTATTAAACTTAAATCTTCTCTGCCACTGGCCAACTCCCTGTTCCTCCTCTTATTCCTAGTCCTGTTGATTCCCCTTTCATATGACTGCTATTCAAACACTGTCCACCATCAATCAGCCTTCTCTTCTCTGGGCTAAACCTCCCATTCTTTCAACTGCTCCTCAGATGGCATGGTGTCAAATCCCCTCATCATGCTGCCTGCCTTCCTCTGCATGGGTTCCAGCTTGTCAATATCTCTCCTAAAATGTTGTGCCCTGCATTGATCACAATGCTCCAGATGTGAGTGGGCCGACCAGAACTGAGTACAGCAGGACTACTGCTTCCTCATTTTGGACGCTATGCTTCATTGCAGTCTAAGACCGCATTAGCATTTTTGGCTGTCCTTTAGACAGGCAGCCACATCCTGGCTCAAACTGCATCTGGAGGAGAGGGCACAGGACATCCTTGAAGTCTGAATTTTAAAAAGACTCAGAGTTTTAAAAAATCCACTATTCCAGCATTCTCCACTTTTAGGAAGGGTCACTGAAATATGCTCTCCTTTTTGGGTTTTTCTGCTGGCCTCCTCCCCAGTGGAGTGGCCTCCAGTTTCTTCCCTTTCCAATCTACTCTCCACACAGCTGTCAGAAACATCTGCCTAATGCACAATCTGACCATACCACTCCCCTTGCCTAAAACACCACCACAACTTTGAGGTTTTCTGTTGCTCCTAAACTCTGCCTACCATTTATACCCTCCTAAAATCTACCTCCAATCTTCTTATCCAACCTTATTTACCATTACTCTCTTTCACATTTCAGCCAACAAACTTCAGTCTCCCTTCTCCTTATATGTGCAGAGGCACATATCCCATGCTCGGGATAAATTCTTTCTTCATGTCTACCTTTCCGAATCCTTATGTTGTTTCAAGGCCTAGTTCAGGTGCCACCACCTCTAGGACCCCACCTTAGCCCAGAGTCCTAATTTTCCCTGAACCCTCTCTCTGCCTGGATTTCTCCTTTTGTCCCTATCACACTCTCCCTTCCTCATACTTATTTAGTATCTCATATTCCCATTAAGATTACATTTCTCTCAGCACCTGGGTGGGGGGAGATTAACCCTTAACACATATAAGGTGGCAAGTTCCAGAAAAACTGCTGCAAGCTAAACTTTTAGAATTCTGGTTTACATGACCCATGGGAACTCCCTAATTAAAGGAGCCTTACAAGGAATCTTTGTAAAATGAGAAGTTAGGGTTTTGGGGTTTGTGTTGGTGATAGAATCTCTAATTTGTCTTTCAGAACAAATCTGATTTCTATTTCTCAACCTCACTTATATAGCAGTATATATCTGTCCTGCAGTCTTCTATGAAACTGATGCAGCACACATATTCAATTAGGATTCTAGCCAGCAGGGATATCCCTGGGGATATAAGGGGAGGAGAGGGGCACAAAATGTGAGGGTGAAGAGCAAAGGTTACAAGGCCTGGGTAAGGCACACTTTATCTTTCCCCACTATTTAACATTTTTGAACAGGTGAAATCTCATTATAGTGACCATTTGAGTCACTCATGGGTAAAGTAAGAGGAAATAGGAATTTTAAAAAATCTTCTTTGTTGGGGTGAAATAAGGGAGTGAGGCTTGTGGCAGGGGGGCCATGGTGGCCTCTCCTTCGTATATGGCAAAAGTTTTCTTTTGAATACAGATTTTAGCTTCCCTCAACAGGCACAAGTATTCAAATGTATAAAATAGATCTTAAGAAGAGAAGAAAAATGAGCTTGCAGTATGGATGCACAGCAGACTGCAAATGATTGTTACAAGAGCCTGTAGCCCTGGGTTATTTACTGATTGTTAACACCAACCCAAAGGATGTTTATATCGACTTTCAATCAGTACTACCTATGTCATCCTTGTTTTCCTGCTCCTTTCCTTTTCTTTTCTGTGACAGGGATTTGTTGCTATAATTTTAGTCATTAACTACATAGTTGTATTCAACGTTTGCATTGTTTTTTGGCTTTACTTCTCCCTTCTGTATAATTTCATGTAAAACTTCCCATATCTACTTAAATTTTTCATTTCATCATATCTTATGATAAGAGAATACCCCGTTACATTCCTATACCATTTCCCATTGGAAACCTGTCTGGTTACCCTTTTCTGCTACTCCAAATGTTACTGCATAAATGTCCGCTGTATACATAGACATATCACTGGTATGCCTTTTAATTCTATCAATCACCTCCTTCTAGGGTATCTTTTGTATTATTTCTAATAATTAACACTCCATACATTTGCTTGGCCCTGAACATTCAAGCACAGACAACATAGGGCTGCCCCTACAGAATCTACAATGCAATAATCCTTGATTCTTGAGCATGTTCTTTCAAAATTTAGAAGGCTTGAGATTGCAGCCGAGTTATTTTCTTCTAAGGATTTATACTTTTATATTAAGGACGATGTAGGAAAACCAAAAATACAGTAGAAAAGGTTTTTTTTTTTAAAAAACCTTTCCCTCCCCACCACTCCTTTTCCTGACCATGAGCTCAGGCCTTTCTCACAGCCCTCCAGAGCCCGAGGCGCCCCCCCCCCCCAAAGCAGAGAAAAACTTGAGAGAACCTCCTAAAATATTCTGGAGAGGTAGCTTAGCTGGTGAGTGGGTGGAAGTTTGAGCTGTTTCTAGCTTCTGTTCAATCTCCACACCTGAATCTACCACAGTCTATTTTGTCCATTTACAATGCTTGGTGGGTAGGGGGTTTGGAAAAGAGGGAAACTAAGGCCAGTATTGTCTGCATGGCCAGACTCTCTACTGTCTTATATTTGCCTTGTATTGTTGTGACAGTTCCCCTTCCTTGCTTTCTATTAGGAAGACCACCTTCAATTCAGAAGGAAGAATTTTTGATAGAAAATAAGAAGTTAAGCACTGTGCTGTTCTTCCCACAATTTTTAATCTGTAAGATGCAGAAGGCCTTGATTTATGTTTCTTAAATTGTAAGCATTTCCCAAATAAAAATTCCAAGTGGAATTGGTTGTACCTAGCCCTGAAATATCACTATTAAGCTATTTGCCTTTTCTTTGGGTCCCTGAAATATCACTATTAAGCTATTTGCCTTTTCTTTGGGTCCTCATTTAAAATCAATGTTTTCTTTTCTCCATTTTCTCTGAGAAGCTTCTATATGAAACCCATCGTTTCTCTTTCTCTCCCTTTCCTAAAGGGATTTCAAATTTTAGCTGCTAATCTATAAAAGCTAAAGAATAGGAAGAAAAGTTCAGCCTCTTTGGGCTGCCCGGTAAGGTAAGAGTTGGAAAATAGGAAATGAGGTTGAGACCTTAAGCAAAGAGAGAAAAAGAGCAAACATTTAAGGCAATCTCCTGGTGGCCTAGGAGGAAATGGAAGACTCCAGAGAGAGAGAAGTTTGATCCGAGGAGAGTAGGCAGTGGAAGAGAGGCTAGCCCCGTCTAGTCTGACTAGACTGCGACTCCCAAGTACTGGCTCTGGTCTGGCTGTGTGACCCTGGCCGAGTCACAGACCTTCTCTGGAAGCCGAGTCCCCAAAAGGGCGGCCTATATGGCAATTTGAAAGCCCTTCCAGGACTCGAAACCTAAGAGCCGAGGACCCCTCCGTCCCCACCACAGGTACCAGACCCGCCAGCCAGCACCCTCTGCCGTAAAGACCCAGCACAGAGAGGGGCCGGGGCGCACGCGCCGGGAGCGCCACGTGACCCCAGGGCCCGCGCTCACGTGAGCCCTGGCCCTTCTGCCCCCGCCCCCCGCCCGGCTTAGGGGCAGGGCGCGTGCAGCCGCCAGGGGTCAGCTGATGGGACGCCGTCGCGGAGGGCTTCACTTCGCTTCCCCTCACCTAGTCTGAGTGGGCCGAGTGCGTGAGCGAGCTAGAGCGCGGCGTGCCATCACTGCTACCATAACCGTCGTCCCCTTCCCGGCGCTGGCCGAGATGGAACGACTCGAGAAGACGACGTTGAACGTGCTGCAGCCAACCGAGCTGAGGTAGCTAGCCCGCCCGCCCTGAGGGGAGGGCCCCGGCTTCCCCCCACCCCCGGAAGAGAGCCGGGCCTAGGTGGGGGCGCAGCTGGGACCGGCCCGGCTGGGGGAGGAGGGAAGAGGGGGGTGGGGTCAGGGGCCGAGAGGCGGCCCACCTGCGCTACGTGCTGCCGGCCCAGGGCAGCCTGAGCCCACTGCCTGAGCCTATCTCTTCCCTTGCCCATCTGGGCCTGCTGGTTTAGACTCATATCCGCTTCTTAGCCGACCTCAAAACTTTCTGGCCCGAGTCATTCAGGGCTGGGTGTCCTGTTTCCCCTCTTGTCCTCATACCTTGGCATTTACGTACTACTTTAAAGCACATCACCTGGGTGAGCTCATCTGATCCTCACAACCACTCCGCAAAATAGGTACAGGTGAGGAAATGAGGGTCACCCAGCTAGGGAGGATCAGGGCTGTAATTCAGACGAAGCAGTCCACAGTTTAGACTGAAAGACTACCAAGATAAAGGGAAAGAGTGTGGACTCTGGAGTCAGAGGATCCGGGTTCAAATCTAGGCTCTACTTATATCCTGAGAATCCGGGTTCAAGTCTAGGCTCTACCTACATCCTGAGGATCCGGGTTCAAGTCTAGGCTCTACCTACATCCTGAGGATCCGGGTTCAAGTCTAGGCTCTACCTACATCCTGAGGATCCGGGTTCAAGTCTAGGCTCTACCTACATCCTGAGGATCCGGGTTCAAGTCTAGGCTCTACCTACATCCTGAGGATCCGGGTTCAAGTCTAGGCTCTACCTACATCCTGAGGATCCGGGTTTAAGTCTAGGCTCTACCTACATCCTGAGGATCCGGGTTCAAATCTAAGCTCTACTTACATCCTGTATGACCTCTGACAAGTTACCAAATTTTTCTAGGTTATCTTTTCTTCATTGGAAGATAAAAGGATTGGACTCTGAGGTCCCAATTCAGCTACGAATTTATGAACCATGAATCCACTGGAAAGAGTCCTTTGAAGCCAGTGGCTCTTGAGAACAAATAATTTTCACTGCCTCTTAGCCACCAGAGTTTGCAGTTGAATTGAGAAGGCTGAGAGAGCCCTATTCAAATTAAGGGAAACTTGTTTTCTTTACAAAGAATGTGATAGCCTACCCTTTCTATAAATATGCAGAAGTGATTGTCTAGTGAATCAACTTCTCGCTGCTTTCTTTGGGGAGATGGTAGGAATGACAATTGAATGTTGTGTCTTGTGTAAATAGATTTTTTTTTAACATCTACCTTAGTGCATTACAACTCCCATGCTCCATTTTGATATGGAGCACAAGCTATGCCAAATCCTACCATGCTGAAAAGTTAGAGGGTTCTAGGTTTAATCATTCTATCAGTAAACATTTTTTAAGCGCCTCTTATGTGCCAGACTTTGTGCTAAACCCTGGGGATACAAAAATGGAGCAAAAGACATTCCCTGCCCTCAGGTAGCTTGGGGGGGAGGGGAATATGCAAACAAATCTATACAAAGGAAAATATATATGGGATAAATAGGAAAGAAGTAATGGAGGAAAGGGACTGGAGTTAGGAGGGCTTAGGGAAGGCTTGCTGCATGTAGAAGGTGAGATTTTAGCTGACACTTAAAGGGAAGCCAGGTAGGGGAGAAGGGAGAGCATTCCAGGCACAGGGGCCAGAGAATGCCTAGAGCTGAGAGATGGAGGGTCTTGTGGGTGGAACAGTGAGGAGGCCAGTGCCACTGGATCAAAGAGTACATTTACAGGCATAAGGTGTAAGAAGATTTGGAAAGGTAGGATGGGGTAGAGTAAGAGGATTTTGAATGCCAAAAAAGAGCACTTTGTCTTTATTCCTGGAGGCAATGGGAAGCCACTGGAGTTTATTGAGTGGGGAGGGAAGGGAAGAGTGTGTGTGACATGATTTGACCTGCGTTTTATGAAAATCTCTTTAGTGCCTAAATGGCGGATAGACTAGAGTGGGGGCAGACCGACCAGTAGGCTGCTGTAGTGTAATCCCAGAGTGGCTGAGGGCAGTGTCAGAAGAGAGAGGGGGGCATATTTGAGAAGTGTTGCAAGGGTGAAATGGAGGGGGGTGGCATTGGCACCAGATTGCGTATGGGAGGTCTGTCTCTCTCAACATACTGAGTTCAAGACATCTACTGGACATTGAATTCAAAATGTTAAAGACAGTTGGAGATGCTATATTGGAGGTCAGCAGAGAGGCTGGGGCAGAACAGGTATATTTGAGAATCTGAATCAGCATAGACATGGTCATTAAATTCATGGGATCTGATGACATCAAGTAAGTAGTCTAGAGGGAAAAGAGAGGCAGGGGACAGCTAGGTGGCGCAGTGGATAGAGCACCGGCCCTGGAGTCAGGAAGACCTGAGTTCAAATGCGGCCTCAGACACATAACACTTATTAGCTACGTGACTCTGGGGAAGGGGGTCCAGGACAGAACCCTGAGGGACACCTATTTAGAGTTGGAAAAAAAACTACACATCAACTAATTCAACCTCTTATTTGACACATGAGGAAACTGAGTCTCAGAGAAAGGAAATGACTTCTGTCCATAGTTACATAGATAATAAGTAGCAGAGCTAGGATTTGATCCAAGTTCTCTAATTCAGATCCAGAATCTTTCCACTGTGTACCACATAGTTCCAGACGTGATGGGCCTTATGCCTGTTAATTATCCAGGGACCAAACTAAGTTTTAAAGACTTTATCACCAGGTTGGCTGCCCGGTGATTAATCTTTTGGTCACAGCAGCTCACAAAAACCATCTAATAAGCTATGTAAAGATTCTAAAGGGAGCAGCCATTCATACCATTGAAATCATTGGTCCTTGAAGTATTAAAGCTACCAGCTAACAGTATTTTGTAGACTAACTTTAAACTCTTGCCTTGCTCCAATACTTGTTTCCACAGAATTCTACCAATAGTGACTTTTACAGTAGACTGTCAGTTTTTTTTTTTGAGAGGCATTTGGGGTTAAGTGACTTGCCCAGGGTCACACAGCTAGTAAGTGTGTCAATTGTCTAGTCTGAGACCAGAATTTTAATTCAACAAGTCTCTGTCTCTGTCTCTCTCTGTCTCTCTCTGTCTCTCTCTGTCTCTCTCTCTCTCTCTCTCTCTCTCTCTCTCTCTCTCTCTCTCTCTCTCTCTCTCTCTCTCTGTGTCTCTCTGTGTCTCTCTGTCTGTCTGTCTCGCTGAATAAGATCAAGTGCTTTCTTTGGGGATAAATACTGCCTTTGTGGTAGCAGAAGCACCAGTTGAAACAGGCTTGGAATTTATAGGTATCAAGAGAATTAGCATGTTCTTACCTTGGATCTTGAACTCCATGCAGCCCCATACTTTCCTGGTCATAATCCAGAATGCCACTGATGTTAATTTTCACACATGGCAAAATGAGTAATAAAGACAGCAATTGGAAGGTATCTCAAAGAGTTATAGAAGCATCTGAAATAAGATTGTCTTGTTTTTACTCTAACCTTTTTTTTTTATAAAAAGAAACACGTTATAGTAGATTTCCAGTTATGTTACTTGAAAATCATTTCTTTCATCCACCACAGATACAGCCTTAAAACAAGCAAACACTAAGGGGCAGCTAGGTTTCGCGGTAGATAGAGCACTGGCCCTGGATTCAGGAGGATCTGAGTTCAAATCCGGCCTCAGATACATAACACTTACTGGCTGTGTGACCCTGGGCAAGTCACTTAACCCCATTGCCTAGCCAAAAACAACAACAGCAACAAAAACCAGCAAACACTGTAGTCCAATCAATCCATGTCAGGAAAACTGGTAAAGATTGCTGTTTTGAAACTTCTTTTGGCCCATACCACCTATGAGTGGTTGCTCTTTCTGCACTAGTCAGTTTAAGACTTTTTTTCCTGCACTGCTGAGTTAAACAGGTAGCCTTTGCCTATCAGAATTCTGAACTTCAGGACCATTTCATGAACTAAATCACAGTCACTCCTGTGGTATTTGAATATCCTGTGCCACTGCTTGTCATTTAGAGCAGTATGCTGCAACGGAAAGAACTCAGAATTTTGTATTTGCAGATCTGAGTTTGAATCTCAGCTCTGCCACTTACTAGTCAGGTGACCATGAGCAAGCCCTTTGAGCCTCAGTTTTTCAATCTGTAAAGTGAGAGTACTGTCCAAATGATCTCGGCAGTTCTTTCCAACTCTAATTCTTAACATTTTATGTCCTCTGCTAGAACACACCTGGTTTTTTTGCCACACCCACCCACCCCTACACCTCTTCCAAACCCCCATGTGTTAAAGGTAAAGCCCAGCAGTTAATTACCTTCAGTAGTCAACCACTTTAATTTAGGGACACCCATTAAAACGACTAAGTGGGCAACAATTCGGTCTGTATACTGCATCATTTTGCCTCCACAGGAAGGCATGGCATGGTTGATTTGTGTATTTAGCTGCCAACACAAGATGGGCCCTTCGGTCCCTGTAGTTTTACCTAAGTAAGAAGGCAGGTTCCCATTTGTGTCCACGGGACCTGGCACTTCACAGGTGGGGGCCAGTTGATTGTCTTCTTTTGGTAACAGCTCTATAAGTATTTGCTCAAGGTTTGAGTGATAGGGCGAGATGTTGGGGAGGAGGATGTTTAAAAAAAAAAAGGCACCAAAATATGTTGGCCTTCGACACAAATACTCTCAGATTTCAAACACTGCTCGCTGACCACAAATTCTGACAAGTCCTACCAGTTATGATACAGGCCAGATGAAGAGCTGTTGACTGTAGGGTAATGAAATTATTGATACTTTTCAAAGACCAGAAGCTAAATTATAGAGGATTTCCTATCTTAATCTGGGGAGGGAGTACCCACACTTAAGAGATTATGCATCCTTGACAAGTTGATATATGAAGAAGTAGAAGAACAATATAGCCAATGCTTATTAAGGGCTTGAGGTGGGTCTTAACCTTTTTTTTTTATGTCTTGGACCCCTTGGGCAGTCTGGTGAAATGTACAGACCCTTTCTCAGAATGTTTTAAAATGCATACAATAAAATACATAGCATTACAAAAGAACTCAGTTATTGAAAATAGTTATCAAAATATATATTTTTTAAAGTCACAGAGCACAGACTCTCTACCTTAGTATACGTAGAGCATTGTACCTTGGAGGAAATGAAATCAAGCTTAAATAACTGAATGTGTTTTTGAGCTTAGTCTAATGGTGGGATGTGATATGTAAAGAGATCATCATAAGTGATAATTCGAGGGGGTGGTAACACCTGCAGGAAAGAGGAAGAATTCCCATGACAAAGTTAGATGAAGTGGCTCAGTCACTAGGAGACTTGGGTGTAGTTGGCAGAAAAGTTCAGGCGGTCCGAGGCTGAGCAAACACAGCTTATGATAATATCTACACTTGGGCAGTTTGGCCATCTAGAAGAGGAATGATGTTAGGAAAACAAGTCATTGCCGAGATTCTGCTCCAGTGCCACAGTTGGACTTTGCAGTGTTTCTGGTTTGTGACTGACTTTGGGTACAGCATGGCATAGGCAGCATTTGCTTAGGAGGGTGTTGTGGAAGGAGCTCCTGCTCTGCCATGAACAAGTGACTTCCTCCTCTGCTTCAGCAACTTCCTGTCTGATGATGAGGTGGCATTACATGATCTTAGTCCCTTTCAGCTTTGACATTTCATGGTTACGATAACGCTTGATTTTTTTTATTTAAAAATAGATTTTAAAAGCTGACTGCATTTAAAATTCAGTATTTTAATGTCTAGCAGCCAGGTTTCCTCCCCCCATCCCCCGCAAAAGCTCTGGTTTTATAATGGAAGATGATGGGGGGCGCAGTTACATCACTGGAGATGTGCTTTACAACAGACATTGAACATAGCTGCTTTGTTAAATGAAGGCTGCTTGTGTTGTACTGTAGTTATTTGTTTCAAGAGATAATAAGGGAATGTGTTGGGGCAATTTTCTGAATGACCCCAATCACTCTACCTCTTTCATTCCCTTGCACTTAATCGGCTTGCCCCATATTGATTTGCCCTTATTGATATGTTCCTTTGTATGCCTTTAATAGTTGTTTCCCATCCATATCCCCTACCTTAACTAGATCTGAAGTTCCTTAGACACGTGGAGCTTAATAGGTCTGTGTGTCACTTAGCACTCCCTAACATGGGCTACCACCAGCACAGAATGCTGCATTATTGACTAGCTTGACTTTTATTTATGTGTACTTTTGTCCATTTCAGAAATGAAGGCTCGTTAACATCGACTCTGAAGACTCTTCTGGTTTTCACAGCTTTAATGATCACCTTACCTATTGGATTATATTTTTCTTCTAAATCGTTTCTGTTTGAAGGTAATTCTAAGCCTGGAAAACCAGACATTTTTTAACTTGTTCCATTTTAAATTGTTTATATTCTTTTATGACCTATTTGATCCTTGTTAACTAAACAGTCTTAATTTGATTTCTTTAAGATTTTGTAGCTGTTTTCCCAAAAGTCAGATTGTTCTTATTCCCTTCCAGAAAGGCTGGGTTTTTTTTGTTGTTGTTTACTTCATTTGGAGCTTGATATCTTACTTATCGATCTTTTTCTGCAAAATGGCTTAGTTTAATCTTGTAAGTTGTCTCTGGTGTCTCACTGGGAGCAGGGTCTGGCACAGGAGGCAGGAGCTGAGGAATGCCCCTTTTACAGCCGTTGGAAAAGAGGAGATGACGTTCTAGAGAAAGTTACAATTGTAGTTCTCCGAAATAATTGTCTGGTCCCAGGGGGCCTAGTTACTTCACAGATGCAAATGCTAACAACTCCTCTACTCCCTATCGGGGAGCAGTCTCCCCAAATAAGGGAGTCGGTGTGTCCAGTTTGGTTGTTTTTTGTACATTGTGGCCTAAAACAAAATGTCTATGTTTTTGTTTCCCTTCTAGGTGCCTTGGGGATGTCCAGCCGAGACAGCTATTTTTATGCTGCGATTGTTGCTGTTGTGGCTGTTCACGTGGTACTCGCACTCTTCCTCTACGTTGCGTGGAATGAAGGATCACGCCAGTGGTGGGAAGGCAAACAAGACTGAAGGGAGCATCACCTTTTGATAACAGAATAAGGAAATAGGTACAGAGTATGTTTATGATTAGGCTAAAATGCAGGGAGCTCTATCTGAGAAGTCATGTACCTCATAGTACAGTAGTTTGTGAAATCAATATCACTTCACTAATGTCATGCTATTGCAAAATTAAAATTTAGAAAGTCAACTAGCTGGAATCGATAGGCAAAGAATTTCATCTTTTTACAACAAAAAATATATTTTGCAATGTTTTGTTGTATTACTTGCACAATTGTGCAGGGCACATGCGGGTTTTATCAAGCAAATTAAATTGCATTTTACACTGGAAATGAGCAAGAACTGCTCAGGCCATTAGATTGTGGGATTTTTTTTTTTTTGGTTTTCATTTCATGTAGGTAAGCGCTCAGGTTTTAGACACTGACGTTAATCTTTCACTGCGATGTTGCACATTAAGATTTATTCCATAGTCAGTGTGAATTTTTCAGTACATTATTTTGGGTGAAAACTGGAATAAATCACAGCCATTCATATGAAAGCATCTTTGGTTTTTAGAAGGAAGCATATGCTAAAGCAGGGTCTTGTGTGTCTAGTAAATTGACTGTTGAAAGAGAACTTAGATTTTTTTTTTTTTACTACACTGAATTAGTCAACAATAACTTGTCTTAATTCAAAATGATTCCATAGTTTGCATCATCGCCATCTAGCTAGTTAAACATTCCTGTCATCCTGAGGCCAGGTGATTTTAGTCTTCCAAGAAGTACAGATCTTGAAATGGCCACTGGTACTTGGGTCTTGTCAATCAGAGCAGAGTTCTGTTCAGTAACAAATGAGTCACGTGTGGTACTTGCTGTGCTGACAGAGATTTAAGCGAGCAGTTGTTCTTGCTTGGGAGTGGGCAGCACAGATAATAGCACTGAGATTAATTAAGATGCCTTGGGCTAACATTCTCTCTAACCATTTGAAGTTACCAGTGCCCAGTGTTAGGCTATTTTCTAATTTTAGAGGAATCCTTGATCTAAGCAAATGAGAATTTCACCCAACTCTGACTTCCACGTTTTTCTAGTGGGCATTTACATAGGTCACTTTGTTCCACGGCTGGATCTTTTTACTAGAAATCAGTTTTCAGTATCAGAGCTTCCTTGTAGTGAAAGTTCTGAGACTTATTCATAGCAGGCCTTTGTTCTTGGTGTTTCTATATCGCATTTCAAGTAGTTTTGAATAGGAAAAGTAAACTGAGGGAATGAGGAGACTTGGTTAAAGGTAAAAACCAGGTGAAGGGATTGAAGTTGACATGATTGAGGAGTGGCACAATGTAAGGTTATCTGAATTTATTGGACCACTATTCTGGCCCTTCAGTGCACGATCTCCTTACAGCTGACAGGCTCTGAATGGAAAGTGGGGAACCTCCCAGACTTCCTGCAGAGGATGCTTTTTAGTTCAAGGCTAGATAGTCTTCTGGAAGAGTCTTTGATATCAATTGCTTCATCTTAACCGGAGTTCTTTCTTACAGTCTATATAAGTGATGCATTTTCTTTTTACATCATTCCTGGGTTTTTCTTGTTCCTTAGGTGGGAGTGAGGAGTCTCTTTTTCCTATTTTTAAGATGAGTTTCCGGTGTGAGATTCCAGTGCTCTTCTTCTCTGCAATTCTCAAGTGTTCACTTAGGGTATGGGAACCCTACTGTTCGTCATGTGCTTACATAAGTATATACACTGAAGCAAGTCACTACTGTTAGAATGAGCTCCTGAAAATTGATAAAGAGAACGGACAAAATCATCTTGTTTTCCAAGCAATTGTTTTCCCAACGTTGGAGCCTCTTGCTGTATGTCTGTTCTTCTGCACTTTCTAGATGGTCAATAGGGCTAGTTTGGAAGGTGCTTCACTGAAAAGTTCCTCTTGCACAGTGTAAAACATCCTCATGTAAAGCATCTTAATAAAGACTTGTTGTTTTGAACCCTTGCATATGTTTTAAAATTTGCTTTCATACAGATCATAACAAAGGGCTGATTGCAGATAACTGTCCATTATGGCTCCTTTCTCTGAATTTGACCCTGATCACAGTTACTCAGTTACTCACCTGCCACTCTCCACCTCCCTTCCCTGAATGTCCCCATTATGCAGAAAATGACAAAAAAAATCCGCTTTTGCCGCTGGATGCCTTTATTCTCATTAGCTGTTCAATTGAATACCATTTTACTTGCAATATTAGACTTCAGTAATGAGGTTTGGTGTTAAAGGAGCTAACCATGCCCTCCTCCCACACAGCCCCCCAGGAAGTGGCTCCTCCAGAGTACGAATTGTTTCCCTTGTGTTCCCGTCCCCAGTGCCTAGCATGATGCCACCTACATTGGCTCTTGTTAAATGATGGTTGATTGAATGGCACAAGAGACATTGGGTCAGTTGTCCAAAGGCCCTTATGAACAGGTGCTAGAGACAGCAGTTGCATGACTCCAGGTCTGGCACACTCTGTCCCAAATCCAGTGCATAAGAGACTCTGAAATAGAAAGTTTTCATCTTCAAACAAATCTCGCCATTGTTTTCTTAAAAGTTTGTGGGTATTTCTCTTCCAACTACATTTTTTTCAGAAGTATAGTTACTGTCCAAGTGGACCAGTGAAGCAGCAGCTATCGGGTTGTGTCCAAGGGGGAAAATCCTCAACCCAGAGGTAAAGGAAACACCAGTTTGGAACAGTCACCTTCCATGTGTCTGGCACCTGTGGCTTGTTCAAGAGTGCTTCCTCTATGGTCGTTCTCCCCATTTTACAGATTGAAGAGCATGGAGCACAACTTAAATGGCTGGCCTTAGGTCAGCATTAGAGCCAGGTCAGCAAGACCAGGGCTTCTTTCCTCTAGAGAGCATGCCGCCCCACCCCTAACTCAGCAGACACCCCATTTAGAACCTCTGGTTATCACCCACTTTGCACATGGTGAAAATGAACAATATGTTTGCTGGAGGGCTGCTTTCAAATGAAATATTTTCCGGGGCTATGGAAATCTGCATTAATACATACATATACATATATATTTAAAGGTTATTACAAATACATTTTTTTCTTTTCATTTAAGCAGCCTGTAATACCTCTACTTTGCAACAAGTTCCTGCAACACTTTTATTAGTTCTTTTTGTTGTTCTGGGTATTTGAAAGCAATACTTGCATCTCTTGAAAGATGTTCTAATATTGGTCTCCCCCCCAGTTACTCCAAATTTGCCTCTACCAGTGAACCAGTTCTGAAATTGATCTTGATGCCAATGATATGTGTTAGAAGAATTAAAAATTAAGATATCCCCCCAACCCTGACCAAATTAAAACCATTGAACTCCTGTAGAATCCAGGGTCCAGATCAGATGCGTATACTGCAGTAATAATATTAGATGGACTTTTAGGGGAGCAAGAATGGTTTGTACCAAATGACTGCTATTTTAAAAAAATATGTTTAAAACAGTAATGATGGAAGGAAAAGGGAGGATTTTAGTCTTTAAACTGTGAATCACTATTACCTTTTTAAATGAATTTTTTCTAATGACTGTCTGAATGGAGTTTGCAATAATCTGGTCCTCTAGTTTGTACCACTTTGATCCCGTGGTCATTAAAAGTCTCTACATGCAATCCCAAAGTATTGTGATCCAGTAAATATTTGTAGCCTCTTATTAGTATTCCTTCCTGAGGTGGTTGTATTTCCTGTAGAAAATGAACAGAACTATGAGGAATAATTATAAGGTAAGTCCAGATTTTATAAGTAAGCACTTTGCTGTGTTAGACTTGATTGCTGCTTGGCAAATGGAGATGGGCAGCCAGTTCCTGGTGAGCTGTTCTCTCCCTTCTGTGTTCAGCGTGCCAACACAGGAAGGTATGATTCAAGTGCCTAGGCTACAGTAGGCTGGCACTTACTGCATAAAATCCCATTTCTTATTTTAAATTCAGACTTTTTAAATCATATATTCAGAGCTGGAAGAAACTTTAGGCATCATCTTGTCCAACCCCTTCATCTTGCCCAGATCACTGGCTGGAGTGATATTCGAAGTAACCCAGCCCAGGAGCACAGCAGGGATTGGAACCCGTGTCCTCTGAGACCATACCCTAACTGGGGGGTGGAGGGTGGGGAGCATTTCATGGCTTCAGGGAAATTTAAAGTATTACCAGCTTGTAGTTGCTTAGACTCTTGGGGTGGAAAAAAAGGAAGTGGGATCATTGGAAGCCACTCATTTCTGGGTAGGATGACATTTAAAAAACAAACAGGGATTCTTCATCCTTTTTGTGTCCTAGAGCCCTTGGGCAGGCAGTCTGGTGATCACTATGGACCCCTTTTCAGGATAAGGTTTTTAAATGAAGGAAATTCTAAATTTCACTTAGAAGATTAGTGAAAATAGAAAATATCTTTCTGTTCCAAGTTCATGGACTCCCTGGTTAAGATTACACTCCACCCCCTTCCTTTCTGGCTGCCTCAGGATGTCTTACACAGGAATCTTTTTACTCCCAATAGAATGTGAGCTCTTTGAGGGCAGGGGGTTGATTTTTATCTTTGTATCCAAGCACATTTTGCATTACCTGGCACAAGACGTTTAGTAAATGAGTGTTGCATAAAATGAGACATGAAGGACTAATATTAGTTAGCTCAGACATTAGTCTGTCTGAAGAAATGCCTGTAATAGTAGTGTTCAGAAAAGATTCCCTTTAACACTATACAAAACCTTTGTTACTTTTCCATACTTTTTTTTTTCTTAAATGAGAAATTGACCAAATCTCAAACCAGCAAAAATCAAATCTGAGAACAAATATATGAATAACTGCCTAACAGTTGAATTTCATTAGATTCTGCATAAAATAATGATTCAGAATTCTGGAGGGCTTTTAAAGTTCAAAAAGGGCTTGCTTCATGAAAGGGCTGAGTAGGTAATACAAGGATTATTATCTCCATTTTAGAGTTGGAGAAACTGAGGAAAGAGCCTACAGATTTAGAATTGGAAGGGACCCTAGAGATCATTTAGTGTCTACCCTACAGTCCTTAAAAACAAACAAACAAACAAACAAACAAAAACCCCATCAAAACCCTGTAACATCCTCCTTGACAGGACAGTCTTTTTTTTTTTAATGTTTATTTTCAGTTACAAGTTCTCTCCCTTCCTCCACCCCCTTCCCCACTCACTGAGAAGGCAAGAAATATGATACCCATTATACATATGAAGTCATGCAAAACATATTTCCGCATTATTGGCAGGGCAGTCTTAAACTTTTTAGAATCTTCTTCTCAATTCAGGTGTTATTCCTTCACTTCTGAAGTTCACCATCTGTAACATATGATTCCTAGGGATCTTCATTATCTGCTTTTACACACACACAAAGAAGCAAATTACAGACAGGCACAGTGAAGACTTGGAGAAGGGACAGTTAAAAAGCAAGATATTCATAATGGTGACCCTGAGTCATTAAGAAAAGGTTAAGTGATATTTCACCTCTGTTTAAAGGAGGCAGAGGAGTGTCATTTTTTAGAAAATTATATCTCCCTTGGTGAATTTCATCTGCTCCCCTGGGTTCATTTATCCCATTGAGGTAGATAACGCCCAGATCTATACATCAGTCCTAATCTCTGCTTTGACCTCCAGCCCTCCATTGCTAACTGCCTTGCTGGATATTACCCTCAGGATGTTTCACTGGCTTGTCAAACTCAACAATTCCCTAAGTGAAATCATTTCCCCTAAACATCCTTGAGCTGCACTGTCCAAATGTCTCTGAACATCCCAGGCAGCTGAGTTCATAACCTCTGAGCTATCTTTGGCTGTTCCTTTTCTTTTGCCTCCCCTCCCCCACAAACCTTTTAGCTGCCAAGTCCTGTGATTCTAACTCCATGAAATATCTTGCATCTGCCTCCTGACCACTCTCTCCCAGCAACCACTTAATCACCTTTTATCAATACTGTAATACAATACAGTACAATAATAGCGACTTAATTATTCTCTTCATTGACAATGTCTTTCAAAAGGATTTTTCTAAAGTATAGGTCTGATCATGAAACCCTACCATTGCTCGAAAAAGCTTTCAGTGACTTATCCATATTGCCTGTGGATTAATGATAGCGTTTATATAGCACCTGTTATGTGCCAGGCATTGTGCTAAGCACTTTATAATTATCTCATTCGATCCTCACAACTACCTTGGGATCTAGGTGTTATTATTATCCCCATTTTTCAGATGAGGAAACTGTAGCAGATACAGAGGTTAAGTGACTTGTTCAGAGTCATACAGCTTGTAAGTGTCTGGGACCAGATTTGAACTCAGGTCTTCCTGACTTCAGAGCTGGCAGTCTACCTACTTCACTACCTAGATGCCCAATTAAGATGCTGCTTTGCCTGGCCTCTAAAGTTCTCCACAATCGGGCTCCAATCTACCTTTCCAGACTTCTTTTATGTTACTCCTTTGAACAGACTGTTGTGGTTGAACTTCTAAATGTATGACATTGGGTAAGTCACTTTTCTTCCTCTGGGCCTCAGTTTCCTCCTCTCTAAAATGAGAAGGTTGAACTAGATGACTTCTCGGGTCGCTTTGGTGACCCCTAAGATCCCTCCTGTGATCCTGTGAGCTGGAATTAAAAACCCTTCTCTAACCTCAGCATGTGGCCAGCAGCATCTGTCATTCTCCCTCACTGGACCATACTGCTTCCTCACCTTCCTACCTTTCCAGAATCCTTAGTTAGCTTTTTTCAAAGTTCAGTCCAGTTGCCACCTCCCCTGTAAAGCCTTCCCTCATTGACCACCTTCTCAAATCTTCCTAGTGAATGTTATCTGGATCTCTCTTTTGCCCCCATCACACACAGCCTTGCATTACGGCTCATTTCTGTGTGTGAGCACGCACATTTGAGTGTGCTCTGTATGTGTTATGTGTATGTGTGTGTTGCATCTTCTCCTCCCACCCCACCCTCCTCAAGGGCCAGGACTGTGTCATATCTATCTCTATCTGTAGCACCT